TCTGTGGCATGGCAGCTCCATAGTGCGCGGTCGCTTTGTCTACAACAAATCACTTTGTTGGCGCAACACTTTAATGTCAGGGATTAGGCATTAACGTGAGATTTGCCAGCGTGCGTCCTGCTTGCTTTTATGGCAAGCCATTTGCATTATACCTAAGCAAGGCAAGGGCGAGCGCATAGAGAGAGAGAGAGAGGCAGAGGCTGTGGGTGAGTGAGACAGACAATTATTTGGCTAACCATTCTTAGTGTTTTGTTCGGTCTTCCTATGGCACTTCAGTTGGCATTGGTAATTGTGCTATATTTTTAAAATACACTGTGAGAAATGTGCAAGCTTTCAGCTCTTAATTCTGGCAAAAAGTTTTGGCAGAGTCTTAAATTAATCTAAGGGCTAAGTACTCTCTCGATTTACTACTCTCTCTATCTCTCCCTCTTTTACTAAATTTATCTAAGAGTTAAGTACAAGCATATTCTCTCCATCTCTCTCCCTCTTTTATTTAATTTATCTGAGATATAAAAACTAGTATACTCCCTCCATATCTGTTCCTCTTTCATTTAACTCAGAAGTCTTGTTTGTTTTCTTAGCTCAAATCTAAGAAAAGTTCCTAAAAATTCGAATTTAGGCTTAACTCATTCATTGAAAAACTACACAAAGAACATCCAAAGTAAATATTTTCACTCCAAACAAAAGCCATAAACTATTTCTCTCAGTGAACTCTTATGAATAACGACGTTTGCAAATAGAGCCACAATTTGCTGCATGTTTTTCCTGCATGCCGAATGCATTTCCCTTTAAGTAGATTTACATTTTCTGTTGAGTGAAAGTATACGAAAAAAACAAAAGCAAATTTCGTATCAAAAGGGATATGAGCATGAAAAATAAAATATTTGCCGCTGCTAAATACATTGCAAATAAAGTAGATTTTGTTTTGTTTTACAGTTATTGCAAAAACTTGAACGCAATTTCGGTTATGAATTGTGGGCCTTTGGCGCTTGATGTTCGCCTCAAAAATCTATCGCCTGTTTTTCTGCTGGCTGTGCATATTTCATGGCGAAACAAAAACAGAATAAAGAAAATGAAACACATTTTCATTTTGGTATTTGAGCTTTGCGATTCGGCAAACTGGAGATCAAAATCTGTGTTTTATTTGCGCGTCCCCCCCCCTCCCCCCCTCTTTCTCTCACTCTCTCTGCCTTTTCGCTATTTGTGTTGCAAAAATGTTGGCATGGAGGGTGAGTGGGAGGCGTGCGCCGCCCATGAACTGCAAATTGCGTACGCAAATTGTCTGCTTAAACGGCCTATTCGCGACGTCAGCTCGACGTCTGTGTCTATTTCGCGCCTGTAAATCGTAAATCAGCGCAGATTATTGTTGTTGCTCCTCTTGCGAGTCGCCCATTTGCATTTGTATCTTGAACGCGTTTTTCAATTTGAGGCAGCTTAAAGCGTCTTGCAGTTGGGCGCTGCTTCTTCATAAATATGCAAATTGTGCCACGCACCCGCTCTGTATGTGGGTGGTTAGCTGCGGTTGCCGGTTGTCGGTTGCCGGTTAGTGGCTCCACCCCACCCGCTGGCTTCCCCTGAGCTTTGAGCTTACCTTGCCATGCCGCACACAGGGGCAGGGGGAAGTGTATAAAAATATTTGATTATATGCTACCTTACGACGGGCTGTACATTTGCTCAACTAGCTGCCTGCCCAGGTCGCCCACGCCGCCCACATCGCCCACATCGCCCACTCTGCTCCAAGTGGGTAAGAGCTAACGATTTTGATTGGTATGTACATATAACTCGATGCTCACGGATTGCAGGAGTTGTAGCAGGGTGCGGGAGTCGCAGCCCTCTGCTCTAACCGTAAACAATGTAGCTGAAGTGGGGACTGTTGCTTGGCTTTGTGTTTGTCTCAGGCGTTGGGGCAATCGGGGCAACTGGGGAGGCTTGTGTGCGTGCGCTGCCGTATTACTCATACGCCATGTTGCGGCCGCTTTGGCTGCTCTTTAAGAGGCACTTGGCCAACGCCCGGGCATGTTTAATTGAGTTCATGTGGAAGACAGCCGTTATAGGGCAACGGCGGGGGCTGGGCGGGTGGCTGGGCATGTGCGTGTAAGTGTGCGTTATCTGCCCATCTAGCGGCACTTTTGCCGCCATCTAATTAGACATTGTGACTACCTTAATTGGCTCAAACGCTTGGACTTTATAACTTTTCGCCTCTGCCCACACAGACAATGCCAAATGAATATTGCTTTATCTGCCATCAAATATCTCTCCCTCCCTCTCACTCTCACTCTCTTCCTTTTTCTGCCTCACTCATTCTGCTTGTTGTCTGCTCTGCTGTCATACATAAATAATATGCCCAGAGGATATTCATCGTTTCATTTCATTTGATTTTCATATTTTCATATTTGTGCTTTTTATCACAAAGCAGCTTTGCATTCTTCATTTGTTTGTGCTGTTTGTGTGCACATGAATTTTATATCGAAGCGCACAAACAATTCCAAAATCAATAAAATTAAATTGAAAATCATAAACTGAACGGCAGCCAGGCTGAGTCGCAGCAGCAACAACAACAACAATAACAACTACGAAACTAATTCGCTTCGTTTGTTTCTCTGCTGCAGCAGCTGCACAAAAAGTTTTTGTATTTTCTTTTTTTTTTCAAAAGATTTTTGCTGTACCCCAACTATGTAGACTGTATCTATGGTTCCGTCAGAGCCAAATCCAACTGGAATTTAATTTTCAGTTTGTTTTCATTGCATGGTGACTTTTAAGTACTCTACTTTGTGCAGAGAAATTTAGGCAGATAATGAAGTTAGATTTTTCTCTGATTTGAAAATATATTTGTGATGAATTATTGTCTTGAATAATAATATTTGCCAAATATTATCGATTGGCTAGATTATAGATAGTACATCTATAGATGCAATTAATAATATCCTATGGAACTAGCAATAAGTTATTGTTGTGTAAATTACTACTATATACTATCGATTAGTTATCAATATAAGTTATCTAATATCTATTGATTAAAGGATAATGAATGGTTGGGTATCGATAGGTTCGATATCTTTTGCTTTTTAGCTTCTATTGAATATATGAATATATTGGGATACAATTTCATCTTGCTTTTTATCAACTTTAAGCGAAGAAATTATCAAATTTAAGCTATCGATTTTTATCGATTATTACCTAAAATAGCTACAGCAACTATCCGATTTACTTTGAGTTCTTATCTAATAAACCTAGTGACTTTGGCCCACTCCTAAACATGGCCTAGAAAACAATATTGCATTAGCATTGACTTTGTCTTAACTCCATTTACAGAGCTGCCCAATCCGATTGTTGGAGTTGGCAAATGGGCTTAAAAGGTCTCGCTCTGCATAAATGTTTTGTTTCAATTGGGCTGCCGCCTGGAATCGAGTTGGCTTCACATTTGTGACTTGACCCTCGTAATTCCCAATTGAAACTTGCGAATTTTATAATTCAATTATCGACAAGCAAAACTTTTCACTGCCTACAAATGCGGACAAAATGTTTGTTTTAGTTTTCTCTTCTAGCCGTGCAGCTGTCTGTCTTTGTCTCACCTCCTCTCTCTCTCTCTCTCTCTCTCTCTCTCTCTCTCGCTCGCTGTGTGTGTGGCATTTATAGTTGCTTAATTAATCAAATTGCGCATTTGATTGCCTGTGGCCTTTTGATTTCTCTAAATAAACTCGTTCATTGCACTTCATATCTTTGGACTCAAATTGAATAATATTATTATTTGGAATGGCGTTGATTAAATAAAATAATAATAGTTTCCATTTGACGTGTTTTACTGCTTTCTATTCAAGTGAAATAAGCTGAAATTTTGTGATAGATTTTTGGTTTGTAATTTTCGCTTTTATATCTAAAGAGCTTTTGGGATTGATAAATATGGAGGCTGGCATGATTAAGGCTAGCATTGAGATTGTGCTGAGCTCTGATATTATCTTGTCTTTGTCTTCCTTATTCCAATTGCTCTGTATTTTGTTAGTCTGTGTTATACCTTCTATCGTTTGTCTTCTTTATTTTTTATTCTGACGTTTATCTTCTCTTCTCCATCTTCTATTTCCTATTTTCTAAGTCCTATCTACCATTTTCCATTTTCCATTTTCTATTCCTTTTATCTTATATATCTCATACCTTCCTTTCTGTTCTATCTTGCATCTTCTATCATCTGGCCTTTTATATATACCCTTTCATATAGTCTAATTTCGATTTCCCTTCGACCTTCTATAATCTAGTTTCTTCATTTTTCTAGTTTCGCTCTTCTGCCTCCTTCCTTCTATTTAGTACCTCCAATATTCAATTTTCTATCTCTCTCTATTCTCTCTTTCATCTTCCCACATCTCTTCTTTTTTTTTTTTTGTTTTTGTTTCTTTAACTTCTCACATATATTTTCCATCTTCTATATTTCTCTAACTGATTTCATAACTTTTCTAATAAAACATGCATTCCTTGCTCTGCTCAAAGTATTTTTATATTTTATGTACATAAAAGTCAGGTGGAAAAGCAAAGACAAATATGAAAATATAATTTTAAATAAAAAATCACTTGAGAACTTTTCTAATTTACGCATAAACTTTTGCTGCGCTGCTGTTTTAATTATGTTTTCCCTTTTATTTTATTTTATTTATTTTTTTTTCGTTTGACATTTGTTTTCAATTCTTGCTGAAAATAATTTGGTTGAACAATGCAAACGGACAAGAAAAAAACGAAAATTATGTTGCAATTAAGATATACAAAAAGTGAAACAAAAACAGCGACAGGATGTATAACAGGAGCAGGAGCTGGAGCAGGAGCAGCAGCTCCAAAATGTGCATGAATTAGCGAGATTTACATGAAAATTTCATAAATATGTAAGCGACGTGGACAGGCCCCAAGCGAGGGCGGCTGAAGTGCGTGTGGGTGTGTCTGTGTGTGCGTGTGTGTGTGTGTGTGTGTGTCTGTCTGTGTCACGAATTCAAGGTACGCGTAATCAAAGCAAAAATTACCTAATTAACATAATCCGCAGTGGCCAAATGAGGCGATGTTTGGGCTGCTTCTTCTAGCTGCTGCTGCTGCTGCTGCTGCTGGTACAGCCGAAGGGGGCGTGGCCAGTGTCAGAAGCTGTGTTTGTCGTCTGGTCGCTGTGGCCGTTGATTAGCGTTTTCCTTTGGGGCCAGCACAGCGACGTCCCTCGCCTCTAAGCGGCTTTGCACTCGCCGCTGCCAAATCCTCGGTGATAAGTTGTCCTGCTGTCCAGCAGGAAGCTTGAGGCTTGAAGAGCTGAGGCTGGGACTGAGACTGTCCACGGGGCAACAGACACTGATTAATATACAGACGTTTAAATTTCGTTTTGCGCTTTACGCTTTTGTTTTGCTTTTCGGTTTGTTTTGGTTTGCTTCAGCGTTGCTTTTTGTTTGTTTTCTTTGGATTTGAATTTATTTTGCTCTCCGGTTTGTTTTCACAGTTGAAGCACTACAGTTTGATGCAGCTTGCATTTAAATTGAATGTTCATAAATTACGGTTTGCAGCTATCTAAACTAGAGAGATTTTAATAAAGGAGTTTAAATAAAATTTAATAAAAATAAACTTATTTAAACTAAATAGAAATTTAGCTAAGAAACTCTTACAGCAGAGCTGTAACTTAATATATTTATGCTGTTGTGTCTCTGTGGCATGCAGGGAAAAACTTGTGAGCAGCTAAAAGAGGAGAAATAAAACTAGCAGCGCACAGAAGTATGCTATATAAATTTATGAATGACTAAACGAAAACATCGCCAGCTGAGTCCTTCAGCTGCTGCTGGCGCACATCCTGTGCGGGCCATAACAACGAAAGTCACACAGCTTCCTTGACGCCCTGATGTCTGCCAAAAAGTTTGACGTCTGCAGCTGCCTGCCACACGCAACAACAAGCTCGAGCATCATAACAAAGCACACACACAGTCACACAGACACTCACACACACGCACTTAACATGTGGCCAGCATTTGCTCTGAGTTATATATTTACTTTTTTTTTTTTTGTTTTTTTAATTATATTCTTTGTTGTTGTTTGTTTTTTTTTTTTTTTTTTTTTTTT